AGATCAGTTCCTTCCTATTATTTTTAATAGGATTTTAAGTGTTGATTGGTATTAATCATACTAGCTGGGAGGTTCAAGGCTGCAGCAGAGATTATTAGTGTACCTGGATTCCAAATTAATGGAAAACAGTCTTTATAGTAACATTCTTCTCTAAGAAACACACAAGAATGATTGCTTAATTCTTGAAGTCCCATTCCTTGCTATCTTTGGCAGGTGTACTGTAGCATGCAGATGAATGCTGTTGTCCTCACATGTGTGTTCAGACACATTGCAGGAAAGACCAGACTACTGATACAACAGAAGATGTGAAAACCTGCCTCTTAGAGCCTCTTTGGTTCTGATAAGCAGATATAGACTCTTTATTAGTGTGGTGCATAAGTATTACATTCTTTAGTCTTTAAATAGTTATAAAAATGAAGCACTAGTTCAAAGTCATGACATGTTTTGTTGTTATATGCTCAGTTTTTCAGAAGATGCAGCATTGCAAATTCATGGTTCCTGTTTCAAGGAGAGAAGGACATTTTTGTACTTTAATGGAGGAAGAATAAATTTCTGATTAAATATCGTGTGTCACAGAAATACCTATTGTTTGTGAAGAAACTGAAAGCTTTAAGGGCCATTGAGGCAGCTTAACAGCCTTTGAGCAAGGGGAGTGCAGTAAAGATAGAGACCTTTTTCTTGCTCTCATTTTCAATTCTGCTTGGGTATCACAGGCTCTGATGTAACCTTGAATGACATAGACTATCCTTTGTCTTAATAATAAACAGTTAGGGTCCTTCTCAGACTGAACTTTAGTCTGAATAGTACTGTACTGCATACCCATTGTGCAGCTTTTGCTCTTTTTCTCACTCTCTACCTGGACTCATAACCACATGAAAAATCCCCATGCTTTGTTTTAGTAAGTGCAGTGTTTTGGTGGATTTGTTTTTATCTAAGTATTATTTAAGCTGGATGAGTCAGGTGAAAGAGACACATTTTGCTTTCAGTAATTGATAGTCCTTCTTGCTGCAGGAGATTCTTTCCCAATCTTCCATAAGCTCTGAACAAATCTTCCTGTCACGCAACAGAATTTCTGGGCTTGCACATCGGTACAGTCAAGCTAATAGGTGCTCTGGGCCTGGGCCTCTTAGCATCTATACCAGGCTTTAAATATGTGAAAGAGAGAGTGAAATGCTCTGTTTGTTTTTAGTGAGTATGGGAAGGGAAAAAAAGAAATGTTACAGCATAAGAGACTAATGTTAGGCATCAGTATGGTGCTTAGGTGTGGGATGGAGTTGCCTGAAGAGACTCTAGGATCTCTTTCAACTGGAGATGTTTAGGGACAGGTCAAACAAACATCTGTTAGAACTAATATTTGTATAAATTAATTGTATGTAGGGATAGATGGATTGCATAAGTTTTATAGTTCCCTCACAACCCAGTATTCTGTAATTAAGTGTTGAAGACTACAAGTTTGAACACTGAGGAGTTTAGGTGTTTGCTGAAGGAAACAGGAGGATAGGTCTGATAAGCTAAGAGGGATCCCAGTCGCCAAGGTGGTATGCAACAACTTAGCATCATGCAAACAGTCTGCCCAAGCCCACAGATAAAGGAGTCTGAAGAGCAATCTCGCAGCTTCCTTCTGGTCTGTCAGTGGTGTGAGCTCTTTTATCTTCCATTCTTTCATGAAGCCTGCTATTACTTGCACATACATATACCCATAGGCATGGATAGGTGGTATAAGGGAACAATTATATAGTCTGTTCTAATCTGTTTTAATTAGACAAAGCTTATTTGAAAATTGCCAGCAACGTGGCAAAGTGGGTGAAAATAAAGATTTATTACTGTTGTGAAAAGGTAGGCTCAGAACACTTGTTTGGTGCAAGTAGCTATGTTTTAATTCTTTGTTTTCTAATAAAAATTTAATTTTAATCTAAGCAATTTCCAAATATTAATTTCTCAAGTGTATATAGGTTTAAAAGCAATTAAAAAACCACCACTCAGCAGGAGTAATTTGAAAATGAACTATAAAACTCTTCAAAATCCTCCTTACTATGTGCATAAATTTTTTTCAGTGGTCTTTACCTGACCCTTCAGATCTGTGGCTGAAAACGTAAAGTTAGGAGGATTACAAACTTCAAATTTTTGCTTTACTTTATTTAATATTTTGTGCTTTCCTTAGTTTGAAGAAAAACTACTGTTGTCTCAAGGTTTTTTCTATGAGGATTTAAAAGATTTCCTATGCTATTTGTAACCATATGGTTAAGCTGGCACCTAAGAAAAAATGAAATAATTAATTCATTATAGTTTTCAAAGACAAATGCATAGTATAAAGGATCTGTGAAAATAAGAGCAATGAAATAGATTTGTGTGGTTCTGTCTTTATTTTAGTGCTGGTAGAATAGCAGTGGTCTTACTAGTGGTACTAAAACTTTTCTTGCTGCTTCCAGTGAGCAGCAGTCAGTCAAACTGCAGAGCTTGACAAGCTGTAGACATGCAGAACTGAAAGAACAGGGAATTAAACTTCATACGATTTTCAACTACAATAAGAAGACAGAAGTCTAGAAACCTTGAATTTGTTCCCCAAAATTATGTGGAATAGGAATTAATGCTAGGTTGGGAAGATCCATTCAGAATTATTTTGGCCTTCCTTTTCCATATTCCTTTAATGTGACCACGTAGAAATTGCTGCCATAAAATTTCCTGGTATTGAACTTGAGAAATCTGTTGCAGCTATATGTCCCTGTGTGTGTGTGTGTGTGTGTGCATCCCACCTTCTTGTGATACCATATAATTTTTGGTACACTGTAGCTATTTATATGGATTTTGGGCTTTAGGCAGGTTAAAGCCTTCAAGGCTAACGTGGTCTCTTCTGGTCCAGTGGCCCCATCACTCTCTCTAGTTGTTCTGCTGTTTGCATGGCAACACAACAAGAAGATGGGAGTTATTCCCTGGAACAGTGGCATGAAGTCATTCATACTGTGTGGTAGCTGGGATGCTTGTGCTACGAATTTACCCAAAGTATGGACTGTGAACCAGTCTCATTGAGTAGAATGGCTGCAGTTATCCATGTTTGGGAGGAAGAAGAACCTTACAAGCCATACTGGGTCACATTCCCTGCTCTTAGGTGCTAGAGAACGAGCCCAGGCTCTGTTTGGCTTGCTGGCTATGGGAGTAGCTTTGCTATCTTGCTGCCACGGTGATATGCTCAGTGCATGGAGGAACATGCATCAAAGAGTTTCTGCAAATGCGCTTGCAAGACTGTAAAAAACTCTGTGAGGCAATGGTCATCTTAACAGGAGCGTGAAGCATCCTGATGAAGAAATGGCATAAAGCAGTGTCCCACATCTGAATACCTCTTTTTTTTTGGCACTTCTTAGTTTTTCTTGCCAGTAGTATGAGGCAACGAGACAATGTTTAACATTTTTCTCTTAAGTTCTATTGTGCATCTGACTGCAGCCTTAGTTCTGGACACCCAGACGCAGTAATTTCTAATTATTTTCATATGTTGCCTAGCAGCAGAAAAAAAAAAGATCCAAATTTTATATATTTCAGAAGTAGGCAATTTTATGGTTGAAGAACTTTTCGTATGCTGCATTCTTGTAAGATTTTAGATAATATATTAGAAACACATATTTAAACATGTATTTGAAATGTATAAAACTGTCTAATATGTATTATATTTAAAATACTCATATAACTTATACAGCACATTTGGTGTGACTGTTAAAGAGGATACATTTGTCACTAAATTTCAGACAATTTTTTTTCCAGTTTGTCTGGAGAAGTTGTTTGCTGTGTTTTAGATTTTCACAGACTGAAATAAAATGTTGGTATCTTATTTGTTCTAAAATGCATAAGCATGTTTCTTCTGGATTGTGCACTAGTTGGAAAGTTTTTGAAGCCTATATATGGGAAAATGTTCTTTTGCTCTGGAACTTATCATCTCTTAAATGAAATGTCAGGAACAATGGAAATAATATGAAGTTTGTTATCAGCTGCAAGCATAACATTGCTTCCTTTCCTGTACACTTTTCCTGCTTTCCTCTGCACTTTCCCATTCCTTTATGAAGCTTTTTTCTTTATGTGGCATTTTAATTACAGGGCAATAATGAAAATTAAGAAAATAACTATGGCAACAGGAGTTAGACATTTATATTTTTATATATGTATGTGATTTTGTGCAAATTTACTTCAGTAGAAAAATGTACAATATATATTTTTTTTGAACATTTGGTTTCAAAATACAATATACTTTGTGTTTGCAACTATGTAAATTACATGTCAGAAGACTGTCTTTAGGAGGTTTCACGTTTATCTAGGGCTCTGCCAGGTGTCTCTGATTTATTACTGCAAGATTTTGTAAGGTAGTGATATGCCATATTTTAATATTTAGTCTGAGATGTGGAGGTCATTACCTATCATACTGAGCAACAGGCTTACATTGTTTCCTTGAATCCCATCTATCATCTGTGAATTTGTTTTCCTTATATTATAAATACTGTGGGGCAAGGACTTGTCGAAATATCTGAGTTGCTGTGACAATTATAGCGACAATGTCAGTTACTTTTTGTAACAATAAGAAAAAAAAGACTTTTTTCTTCAGTCTTCTTGCAATGGCATGTTTTATTTCAGCCAGACATAACAAAAATTTTGAGTGCTATCCCAAATGTGTACTTTACCTGTGAGGTGCAATCAGAAAATACGTAGTTAATGTAGGAGTCATTATTTTAATGCATAATGCTTTCCTTGTGGTACAAACAGAAAGCAGTTTAAGTTATGAATATTATTTGTGACATGAATTATTTAACAGCATCTGAGGGATTTAAAATACATCTCAAGGTGATACTTGAAGGACAATTTTGAGCGTGTTTTCATCCTGAGGTGTGTTTCATGTTGACAGCTATGGTGGTAAAATCTTCAAAGAGTTCTAGATCTTACGTAAAACTTTTAGAATCTCAAGTCATTGACTCGAATGTGCTCATGCCATTAAAACTTCTTTTAATCTTAATCTCTTTCAGTCCCAGCAAAGATGCATTGTGATCTTTGCACTGGTATGCTGCTTTGCAATTCTGGTTGCACTGATATTTTCGGCAGTGGATATTATGGGAGAAGATGAGGATGGACTCTCAGAAAAGAACTGTCAAAATAACTGTCGGTAAGAGGTAACAAACAAAACTTCTCTTTTGGGGTGGACAAGAGTATATGTTTATTATATAAGAGCATGAAGTAATTAAAATAGTTCTGTGGTGTAACTGGGAAGAGTAGGTAATAGAGAAAGAAATGGTTTCTCATTTTGAATTTCTGGTTTTGGAGGTTAGTTTGAGGGGAAAAAACCACACTTTTTGAAGTTATTTTTGGTGGTATGTTTTGAGCAAGACCCTTGTGCTGGCTCAATTTTTTTTTGTAAGCCTGGGTCAAACCCATTAAGTTTCAGTAATTGAGTACTGAGGTGACTCACATAGTTCCCAATTCTTTAATATCTTTTCATCAAGAGCATTTCTTTCTTTCTCCATAAAGGTCACTGATCACTTTTGACCTAAGACTTTATGTCTCTTTTATGTAGAGGGAGCTTTTCCATGTTCCTGTTTGTTGCACTCTCCGAATAGATATACTGGCTTGCCTACAAACTGTGAAAAAAATTAGTGGTATGATCAGAAAGGCTGGAGTGCTGACAGTGTTGGATTAAGATTTGCCTCAGACACCTGCCCATGGTTGTGTCTTTTAACTTTAGTTTTAGTAGGTGCTTAGGGGTTTTTTTGCCTTTTAATTCCAGACCGTGAATCTCATTTTGCTGCTCTTCACTGTCAGCTTCCTCCATGAATCTGTTCATTAGTGATGCCTAAAGCTTTTCCTAGAATGATATTTTCCAAAGTCCTCTTCTGTTCACCAAAAAGCTGATTTACTAATCATTTGTAGGTTTCATTCCCAGTTATACTCAGTTTGGGTTCCTTTCAAGACTGTAGCTTTTATATAAAGTACCCTCTCTGATGCACTTTGTGGAAAAACAGTCATTGTTAAATAACTTCTCAGAAATCCATTCTAATCTGATCAGGGAATTGCTGGTGTGGGAAGGAGGCCTCTGGGCATCCTGCAGTCCATGACCCTGCTCAGAACAGAGTCAGCTACAGCAGGTTGCTCAGGAACGTGCACAGTCAGGCTTTGTGTAGCTTCAGGTATGGACTTCACAGCCTTTCTGGGCAATCTGTTCCACTGCTTGTGCAAAATTTACCCAGCTACCATTGGTTGGGTGCACAGCAAGTAAGAGATAAATGAGTTTGTGTTTTAGAATAATTGAACAAAAAATTAATGTTTCTCTGAGACTTTGATCCTTACTTCTGCCATTCTTTGTTGATTTTGTGTGAAAACTCTTTCAGGACAGTGCCTTTCTATGCTGCACCTGTCACGTTGCAGACAACACTAATTCAGAATCCAGAAAATTTGATTATGTTTTCCAATTGTAATATGTTTTTATAGTATTTTTTACATGATGCTTAAAGAAAAAAAAAAAAAAAGAAAAGATTCTTTAAATGTGTAGCTCCATTCAAATAGGATATACTTGCAGCATCAGGTAACTTTGTTCTGAAACCAACCATCCTTTTGGCACTTTTTTCCAGGATTGTTTTTAGGTTTGGTTTTGTTCACTTCCTTGTATGCCTAGAGGTCTGAGCAGCCTTCTAATATCTTCTCTAAATCTTCTAGTGTTCAGCCAGCTTCCCTTTCCCCATCAAGGTATTAGGTGTTCTTCACTGTGCCTTCCAAAATTTTTAAAGATACTTCATATGTCATCTCTACACCCACCATCTCCCTGTGTGAATCTTTGACAGAACTAGGTCAGATGAGGGAAAAGTCTTTCTGCTCATTGACTTCAGTGTACTGCACGCGACCCCAGCACACACAGAAACTACTGCACCATATTTTCCTCTTAGTTGTATCAATTAAGGGCTCCCATTTTGTTCTGGGCAGCTGCATAGCCCTAACCAAGGAAGGACTTCACCTTCTTCCCTTTGTATTCTTCAAAGGGAAAAAAATTCAGAGTAGCACTGATGTACAGTGCTTTGGAAACCCAGTATATTATTTTTTTCCATGTGTGAGATTGACTGGTTTTGTCCCTTTGTACGGGTTATAGCAAACTGCCTTTCCTAAGTATATTTGGCTTTGCTCAGTTTTTTTCTTGGTTCACATGTGTCAGTCTTGTTCTCTCCTGGACTGTGTTAGAGAAGCCTGGGACTAAATTCAGCATATTCAGACTTCAGACATAAGAGTCAATTAAACTGCTCTGCATTTACAGGGATAAAAGTGATCTCAGACCCCATCTCTATTTTAAGGTGCCTTTCACAGAGTGTTTCAAGTGTATGATCTAGCTATTAATGCCTGAACCAGAAGGCATATAAGTGCTGTGTATATAAACTGCCGAAACCATTTCTAATAACAGTATCCAAGTGCTGGCAGCTGCTACCTGCTAACATTAAATCCTTCTCTCCATGATGAAACTGGAGTCCTTTATGTGTTAAATACATTGCAGACTTAAGTGCTGCAAATCAGTTGCTATAAATGGCATATATTTAATTCTTGGGGTAAGCACTTTTAATAAGTAAGACAAGAGTTATTGAATTCTTATATTTCTGCTGTGTGAGTATTTTCACTGAAATTCAGCAAGAGGTGCTTACATTTGCAGGATGAGCTGAGACAGAATGGTAATAGATGGTCCTCTTTTTTTTTGTTGTTGTTGATGAAATGTTTGTCAAATACAAGTTTACATATATGATCCTAGAATTCTTTTTTTGTTTTAAATTACTGAATTTTTTTAAGAAGATTGATGGGAAATGATGCTGTGAATTTGAGAAGAACTTCACTGATAGTTTGTGAAAGACTTTTGTTTTCAGAAAATTTCATTTGGTCTTTTTATTTTCAAGGAAAATACACCTGAAATGGTTCTTTGGCTAGAAATTTTTGGAGTTTGTGTCCAAAAATAGTGAGAATTTTTAAGAGAGAGAAAGAAAAAGTAAGAGGAAGAAATTTTTAGAGTCTAGAGATTTTTATAGCCTGAGGGAGGAATCATTGAGGTATGTTATATGTGGCACTTGTCAGTAAAGCTTACATCTTTTTTTGTTGTTGTGACTTTATTGTCCATGAATACAAATATGGCCTTTCTGATCTACTTGTTGTAATTCAACATGAGGTTCCTCCTCCGTAAAACATTCCATAAACTCTTATTACAGGAGGAATACTTACTGCACATGTTCCCAAAAGGACCTTACTCTTTATTGATGTAACTATTTCTGCTGGGGTCTTTGTAACAAAGACAAGTCAGGGAGTGGAAAAGCAGGCTTTTTTGCCTGTCTTCTCTGAATGCTGAAGGGATTGATGCTGCCTATCTAAAAGGGTGCTTAGGAAACGGCACTTTTTTAAGAAATGAAAATCTGTTTGAAAGTAAAATTATGGATTGTGATTTGTAGTCTTTGGGCTATTTGCTGAAAAACTCCGTCTATGATTGAGAACTGAAAAGCATCTTGCCTTAGAGGTCATTTGTGACTGCCACAATGGGGAGCCAGATTGTTGGAGGCTGCCAACCCTTTCCCACTTTGTTTGTTACACAGGGAGAGGAACTTGATATTCAATACTATTGAGTCAAATATACAACAGAAGCTTGAATATTTGAGATGTAACTAAGAAATTATTGAAATTAATTTTTTTTGTCTTTTGACATGAAGATACAGAATTTATTCTTTTTAAGCCTGCTTTGCATGTTGTAATCTGAAAATACAAATAGGTAAATTAAAAGAATTTACAACCCTTTCCTAATAATGGTGGGCTAATATTAGAGCAAATAAACATAATTATCAGGTTAATTACCAAGCACCATACAGTGCATTTCAAATAAAGAGACGGGGGAAGGTCTGTAAAATTTATCAGGCAGACAAATTCAGATTCTCATTTCAATTCTGAAGCCTGAACTCTACTGTCTGAAAACTGCACTGGTTTAGATGAAATAAGGCTGTTTGTACTTATTTACACTGTCCCATAAAACTTTCATGCTGTGAATTATATGTAGAGAGATTGACTGATTGAAATTAGATTTTTTATTTTATTTTTTTACAATAGAACCACGTCTGCTGAGAGGCAACTTTTCACTTCAGAGAGTGCTGTAAACTCTTGGCTTTGTTCCACAAAATTTTATTTCAGAATGCTGAACTTAAAACATACACATTATTTTTGACCCATCCTGTTAGAAGGAATGGCAACTGATTGACATTTAAGGAATAAAAAAAGTAGTAATGCCTGTGAAAAGTTGTGGCTTTGCAGTTTGTGCTTGATATGTGATGGAAATAATTCTCTCGAGACATCCACACTAATGTTGTTAGGCAGCCCTGATGGATGAGACTGGTTAAGAGGATACGCTTAGCAGTCTGGGAATTTTGCCTATCTTGCTGTGGGTCCATTAGACACTGAATCTATAAAATTAGATTATTGTAATTTGAAAATTGTTCGTTTTAATGGCTGATCTATTGTGAATAAATCTTGGCTAGCCTCTGGCCTAACATCAGTCAGGACTTACTTGGCTTTGTTGGAATTGGCCAGTAAACTCTAGACATGGGAAACAGAAGAAATTACTACTATTAAGAGATGGTCTCTGTTTTTCCAGACTCTTTGAACCAAGGTCATTTTGATTTATTAGCAGTAATTTGAGCTTTTCAAGGCTCAGCTTGAGCCTCTTCTGGTTGTTACTGCTGATAGTCATGCTAGGGTTCCTGTAGAGCTTGCACATGCCCTTAATTATCCTTGTCTCACTAGCTTTTCCAATATCCATTGAAGCAGTGGCAGCAGCTGGCACAGCTCCTGTCTCTGGCTGTGGTTTGGCCCTGTCTCTTGAGAGGGACTACAGAACAAGGTGGAAAAGAAAGCAGTGGTAGCTACCTTCTGTGGTTCCCAAGCTTAGCGTGTACTAAAACTGTTGTTTTAGTATAATTTTTTTTTCAGTTTTGCCATTCTCTGGTGATAATTGGAAGGATTTTTCTTGTTTTCTGTGTGTGTGTGTTTTCAAGGAAGGTTCTGTCTTGCATTTTGCCTCAGTGACAATATTTTGATAATTTCTCAGAGTAATATATAACAAAGGCACTTGTTCTTTTGTGTTTGGATTTGTGTTGGAGGAATTTG